CCACTGACATAGTTTCTTCGGGTGAAATCAAAATTAGGTTTTAAGAAGAGAATTCCCTCACCCGTAAATGTGGCAGGTACAACAGGCTTCCCCTGGAGCCAGTGCATGCCATACCCTGCTCCAGCTGTCACTGCTTGCAAACACCAGGTCCCAGTTTTGTAGTCTCTCACTCTAATGAGGTTAAGCTAAGAGAAGCAATCCTGAATTCCTGAGAGCAGGAAGGGAAGGCATAAATTTCAGAACTACAGTGAGAAAAGAAGCCATCATAATTTTCAATGTCTGTACAACATAACCCCAGACACTACTCATCCCTTCCAGAAAAGGGCACAGAATCTTCCACTTTCAAGTCCTGTTTCTGCTTGCATTTCTCTGTAGTGAGCCCAGAACTGCCTTTATCCCACATCAATTGCAAAATCGTCTTCTGACATTTTATCAAGAGCTTACTGAGTTTCATTCCCTGAAGAGTTCATGAACACTGCTGCTCAGCCTTCCTTCTGCACTACATCTCGATGAGAAATAGTGTATTTTCATTGCAAGACCTGTCTTGAAGCATGAGGGCAGAAAAGAACAATCTGCTCTCACTGAAATCCCATCTTCTTTGTTGGCTTTCCCTAAACAGAAACCAGGAGGCCACAGGTATTCAAAGGGTTTTCGTCACTCAGGATGAGAAGCTGTGCTGCAGCTGCACACAGAAAAGCTGAGGGGCCTGGCTAAAATGAGGGCATTTTCCCCTAATTCCACAAGTAAAAACACACTGAGCCAGATGTAATAAGGACCACACCAGGCAGAAACTGAACAATGCAAGCTCAGGATGTAATCCTCAATCACTTTTATAATCTTAAACCAGCATAAACAATAGCAAGGTGTCAGGAAATTAAAGGACCGCCTGTATTCACGTACACAAATGGACGAAATTTCCTGTTACATCTTAAGTCAAATTGCACCTTCCCCCACTAAGGAAGTCTTTATTCTCCTTCCTTGCCTTTAGCCACAAGCCCCACCCTTCTGTCCTAATTCTGGCAGTTCACTATTCACTATAGCAATGTGAATCAAGTTGATAAAAAGTGAAAAACTAACATGCCAAAATAAGGAAGTGGGACATTCCAGAGAGGGCAAAGGAGAAAAGTTCAAGAATTTAATAATTTATTTTACCACACTAGAGCCAACACAAAACAGAGAAAAGAATGCATGGCTAAGGATGTAGATGAGGATGGGGATGGGGAGCTTTCCCCACACAGTGGCAAAACTGACCTAACTGTATTGTGAGCCACTAGAAAATTTTAATTATGGATACTAGAACCTCTTGAAAACCTACCAGGAGAATATGTGTTATTTTGGAGGCATGTGAGCATTGGCCTCCACATAATGTAGTTGTAAGGTTTTAGGGGTTTGTTTAAAGGGAAGAAAGCAAGATCATTTCTCTCACATATCAAGCCTAGGAAGTCATGATTACACCAAAGCACAATGGGCTTATCAGAAATGTAGAAAGGAATGCTGGGGTTATGAAAAAAAAAGCAGTAATTGCTTTTCACATTATGGATTTATTAAGAGCAGGAACTCCACACTTTTCATCATGATAAATGATGTGAGCAGTATTGCCTTTTGGAAATTGCAGAAAGTCAACGAAAAATTATAGAAGTATTGGATTCAGTACAGTTTTAGTGCATTGAGTGCAAGCAAGGGGGTTTATACCACGGATATAAGCAATAAAGAAACAAAAAAATCTAAGTAACAAGACACCAGATTAGCTTTAATTAACATAGTTTCTTGTTTAGAAGAATCCCCTAAAGCATCCTGTGAGAAAGTGAGCTGTATGTCACAGGAAGTGGAAGGCAGGAATGCAATTCCCATCAAGCCTCATTCCTGCCAGAAAGGCACGTGCACCTCTCCCAGGCACATGGCTCTGCTCTCTCAACACCATCCCTTGCACCAAACTGATCACTTAAAGGTAGAAAAATACTTTTTTTAGTTTTTGCTATGTTTTTTAACAGTTTAATGAGCTGGTGGTGAACTCTGATAAGCAACAGAACCCAGCACATAAAAGAGGATGCCCCTGCACTGGAAAACATGAAAGAAAAACTCCACCTTTTGTGGATGAAAAATATTAAGCTACCTGGTCTTCGTGAAAATGCACCTTAGCTGTGCACAGCTGAACTCCCTTTTCAGAATGCTGATCTCCCTTGTTCATTCTGAGCTGCTTGGAAGGGCACAAGCCTGACAGCTGGACCCGTTTAACAACAGCTCAGTGCCACTAAGAGATGTGATGTTTGCCTGCTTCTCAGGGAACCAGCACGCTCCTGAGGCCAGAAGAAATGTAATACACAAAACACAAACAAGCAAACAAACAAAAAAAATTTTAAAAAAAACCCCATAAAACAACCAAAAAGAAGAAGAAAAAAAAACCCCCACAAACCTCATCCCGCTGACCTGGAAAACTGAATGGTTACACCGCTGGCTGGTTGGCTCCAACCTGGCAAAAAGGAATGAGCTCGCTCTGCCAGTCAGCTCCGCCTCAGATGCCCATAACCCTGCATCTCCTTTCAAATTGCAAACCACATAGACCTCCCGGACTATAATAGCAGGCTAAGCTTTAACGCCAGTCAGAGGGGAGAATCCCTGTGCCGTCGGCACAGCTTCCCATTCCCTACCCACTTTTATGTGTTGAGGTTTAAACATCGAACTGTGTAGGTTTCTGTAGGACAAGAGGAGGTCAGCAGTACCTCTAAAAAAAAAAAAAAATAAAAAAAAGGCAGATCAAAACAAAGAAGCCTCAACAAACACCGCAGGAGGAACAGCAAACGGTGGGAAGGAGCCAAGGCGAGGAAGAGGCCCAGACGGGCACAACCTGAGGGGAGCACGGGCCCCGCGGGCCGCTCTGTGGCAC